TTTTTGTCATTCTAAGAGTTGTATAGTAGAATCTCATTATGGTCTGAACTTGTATATTCAAAGGAGTAACAATGATGACTATGTTTTAATGTGCTTATTCATCACCTGAATATTTCTTTTTGTTAAAATATTTTGTCTGTTTTTCTTCTCTGTTTATTTTTTTTTTTCAGACAGGGTCTTGCTACATACACATTAGGCTGGTCTTGAACTCATGCTGATCTTTCTGTCTGTCTTAGCACCCTGAGTGCTAGGACAACAGGTCTGTCTCTCTACCCATTTCTCTGAGTTGTTTGCTTTCTTACTTTACAGTTTTAAAACACACACACACACACACACACACACACACACACACACACACACACACTCACTCACTCACTCACTTATAATGAAAACTAATGCTCTATCCTTGAACAGGAGTAATCATCCCAGGGGAGCCAGATTGCTTCCCTCAAAGGGTGACAGTGATACCAGCTTGTCCTGAACCCCTTGCAGAACTGAGATAATGATCAGTCAGACCACCCACCCTGACAAATCCTCTCTCTCATTTCCCTCTTCTATAAAATCTTAAATTCTGTGTCAGCCCTTTGAAGATAGACTTGGGGATCACCAAGCCTTTTAATCTGTTCTTCTCAAATAATCACAAAATAGAATACAAAGAATAGAATAATTTCCCACAAGTTCATGCTGATCTACATCAACAATTATTTAATAATAAAGTTAATCAATGAAAAAGGAAACCTTTTTTCATAGAACTTCTGTCCAGAAATATAGAAGAGTCTAGGATATAGTGATGCGTGCTTGTAATCCCAGCACTCGGGTGGCAGAGGTGAAAGGACTGTCATAAATTTGAGGTCAGCTTTGTTTACATACACAGTGAGCATTAGGCAAGCCAGGGCTACATCATAAGACCAGTATCAAAAACGTTTTTGTAAGTTTTTGAGATTTATTTTTATGTGTATGTGTATTTGTATGATCATTCAGATGCTTAAGGATGCCAGAGGAAAATGTTCCATCCCCATGAGCTGGAGTTACAGGTAGTTATGAGCTGCCTGACATGGGTTCTTAGAACACAACTTAGGTCCTGGAGAGCGGTACACACTCTTAACCACTGAGCCATTTCTCTAGGCCAGGAGGAAACTTTCAAAATGGTCACATGTAAGAAGGCATAGGAAGCTGAGTAGGAGAAATGAAGCCTAGAACTGACCTTTCTTTTTTTGTTTTTTTTTTAATTTTTATTAATTACACTTTATTCATTTTGTATCCCCCCATAAGCTCCTCCCTCCTCCCTCCTCCCAATCCCACCTTCCCATCCCCCTCTTCACGCATGCCCCTCCCCAAGTCCGCTGATAGGGGAGGTCTTCCTCTCCTTCCTTCTGATCTTAGCCAATTAGGTCTCATCAGGAGTGGCTGCATTGTCATCTTCTGTGGCATGGTAAGGCTGCTCCCCACTCAGGGGGAGGTGATCAAAGAGCAGGCCAATCAGATTATGTGGAACTGACCTTTCTAATATATCCTGTTTTATACAATTGGGCTTTGGAGTCTTGTAAATATTTTCACACCTGCAAACAAAATACACAAATTGTTTCCTAACATCAAAAACCAAATAAAATAGAATTCAGGTACAGTAAGTTAGTGGTAAACTCGTAGACAGTAGAAATTATTCAAATAACTTTAAAACAGGGTAGTCTGACTGTATATTCTTAGTGTGATATATCCTATGGAAGGAAAAAGAAGTCAAAAATTTCAGTTCTGTCTCATGGGCCAGAGCTGGGTCATCTAGTAACCCTTAGCATCGATATGGGAAAACATATTTTTTCCTGTTCTCTGTGATGTGAGGCAACAAAAGATTAGAACAACTGCAGTGTCAGCAGCTGCTGTTTACTTGAGTTATCTCTCCTTTCTGCTCCCTTTGGATTGGGATAGGAAAGCTCTGTTTGCAGTTTCATTTAAAATAGTGGTGGCAGCACTGTTTTTTGAACAGCAAATCTGGAGCCAGGGAAGAGAAATCCCAAGCTTATTACTAATGGTTATTAAGCTGTCACCTCCAGGTTAGCAGTAGAACATTGCTCCCATCACTTGGGCTTGGAGACTCACATTTCCTAACAAGGCTTGTGATTTTGAAAGAAAGAAGAATGCTACCCTGAAGTCTGGAAAGATGCATGATACCATAAGGATTCAGAATTCATGGTAGAAATCCATATGTATATCATAAATCCAAAGATGCCTGAAATACATTTTAGAAATATTATAGGCCAATTATTTTAGACACCTTACAGGAAGTGGGTAAGTTGAGAAATATATGTTACAACATATTGGGTTGCTCCTTAACAAGACATTGTTGGCTAGGAAATAGTTCTGCAGAGGAATCATCTATGTATCTATGGCTCTGTTCTTTCCCCTTGACTTCATAGGCACATCTAGTAACCCGTCAAAACAGGGAACAAGCCTCGTGAGTAAGAAGGAGAGGTTTGGGATGGCTTCATAAACCTGACCTTATTTGATATTTCCAGAAGTCTGCAAACTGTTTCAGTCGCAGCTCATAGTACCATTTTACAGATGATAGACCAGAAAGCTCTTGGTGTTTCCTAAGTTGCATAAAGTCAGGCAGGAGGCAAATTCGGACTAAGATCCCCTGTCCTTTCAGTGTCTTTTGTACTCCAACACTTCCTCCCATCTCTCTCTCTGTTCACCTTTTGGATTTATCTCACCTGAACATCCTCAGAGGAGTGCCCAGGAGCATAGGCAGTGCCACATAGAAAGACAGACACCAATATTGCAGGTAAAAAGTACAGTCTTAGCTGATGCTTGGGTGAGATTTTTTTTTCTATTGCTTGGGTTAATTTTTTAATATAATTTTTGTTTATTACAATTTATTCACTTTGTTTCCCAGCTGTAGCCCTACACTCTTCCCCTCCCAATCCTGACCTCACTCTCATCTCCTCCCATGTCCCTTCCCCAATCCACTGATAGTGGAGGAACTCCTCCCCTTCCATCTAACCCTAGCCTATCAGATCTCATCAGGTGAGATTTTTTTTTGCTTTCTTTTTATAGACTTCTTTTTTGTTGTGTTTTTAATTTTAATTTTTATTCATTACAGTTTATTCACTTCGTATCCCCCTGTAGCTCCCTCCCTCCTCTCCTCCCAATTCCATCCTCCCTCCCCCTTCTCCACCCATGCCCCTTCCCCAGTCCACTGAAAGGGGAGGTCTTCCTCTCCTTCCTTCTGATTCTAGTCTCATCAGGAGTGGTTGCATTGCCTTCCTTTGTGGCTTGGTAAGGCTACTCTCCCCTCAGGGGGAGATGATCAAACAGCAAGCCAATCAGTTCATGTCAGAGACAGTTCCTGTTCCCATTACTAAGGAACCCACTTGGACACTGAACTGCCATGAGCTACATCTGTGCAGGGGTTCTAGGTTATATCCATGCATGGTCCTTGGTTGGAGTATCAGTCTCAGAAAATACCCCAGTACCCAGATATTTTGGTTCTGTTGCTCTCCTTGTGGAGCTCCTGTCCTCTCCAGGTCTTACCATTTTCCACTTTTTTTGTAAGATTTCCTGCACTCTACCCAAAGGTTGGCCATAAATCTCAGCATTATAGACTTCTTTTTTTTAATTTTTATTTTTTTCTATATTAATTACAGTTTATTCACTCTGTATCCCAGCTGTAACCCCCACCCTCATTCCTTCCCAATCCCACCCTCTTTCCCTCATCTCCTCCTGTGCTCCCCTCACAGTCCACTGATAGTGGAGGGCCTCCTCCCCCTCCATCTGACCCTACCTTATCAGGTCTCATCAGGTGAGAATTTTTTTTTTGCTTTCTTTTTATAGACTTCATTTTTAATTTTAATTTTAATTTTTATATTAATTACAGTTTATTAACTCTGTATCCCAGCTGTACTCCGCTCCCTCTTTCCCTCCCAATCCCACCCTCCTTCCCTCAACTCCTCCCATGCCCCTTCCCCAGTCCACTGATAGGGGAGGTCCTCCTCCCCTTCCCTCTGACCCTAGCCAGTAAGCAAAAAATAAATATCTTTCTGAGACATCTGCTTTCCTGGCAAGTGCTGCCAAGTGACTAGTGACACTGATTCCATTCAGAAATGAATGTTGATGGCAAAGGGTCAGGCTGTCAATGTTGTAAAAAAAATCTAAGGCATCACTGATTTTTTGGGGGACATGAGAAAAAGCACTTCGCCTGTTGGCCTCAGAATAAATAATTTCCCAAGTTTATATATAATTAACATCGAACAATTCCTTGCTTGGCTTTGCAGTACAAATGGGAAAGTTCTAAGGCAGGAGACTGATAAGAGATCAGCCATTTGGACTATAGATTTCTGCCTTGGATGTATATAGTCCTCACCTGTCAAGTTTAAGGACTGATAGGTTCTTCAGTTCCCATTAATGAGAGGACTAAAAAAGCTGAATTACAGAAGATAATAGCCTTGCTAGGAATTTTAAATGATGCATTTAGCTCATTCTTTGTTGGACTTTTTAAAGTGTTATGGCCAGTTTGTGTGTGTGTGTGTGTGTGTGTGTGTGTGTGTGTGTGTGTTTGTGTGTGTAGCTGAAGAGTAAAGAAACTTGGTATGTAGAAGAGCCAATAAAATAGAAGAATCGCTTAGGCACTCTGGAGACTATGCAGCTTTAGGGATTAAACCTAAAGCTGAACTGTTTAGGCAACTTAGGGCTCCATAAATTGCCCAGTCTGGCCTTGAACTCGTGATCGTCCTGCCTCAGCCTCCCTTATCTGCCGGGAGTACAAGTCTGCGCCACCAGACCCCGCCGGACTTAAAAAAAAAAAAATCTTTGTAAAGTAAACGGACCTGGCAGCTTACGTCACAACCAGCTGAAGGCTCAACGCGCTGGTTGCTATGGAGGCTGTCCTAGTGACCCCGCCTCCGGCTCTTGTGTGGCTATCCGCTCTGCAGTGACCACCAGCCAAGCAGTCAGCAGCTACCCAGCGCTCAACTGCAGGAAAGCTGCTGGCTGCTGAGTGGGAGTGGTCCCTTTTACCATGGGCGGGTTCTGAGGCCCATAAGAACAGCGCGCCACTGGGGATCCACTGTTCTGAAGCTCGAACTGCCCGGACTGAAAGGTACTAAAATCGAACCTCGGCACGGGGCCACCTGACTGCGAATCTGCGGCGGAGAGAGGTAGCTTGACCCTAAAGCGCCGCTGGCTGAGGATCGGAGGGAGTCGAGCCTCCGGGCTGCCACCGCCACCTCAGCAGCCGCCAGCCGCCATCGCTTTGGGCCTCCACCCGTCACCACCATGGCCGAGGAAGAGTCTGCCTCCTCGCCTTACACCGAAGATGATTTCTACTGTCCGATTTGCCAAGAGGTCTTCAAAACGCCGGTTAGAGTCACAGCCTGTCAGCATGTCTTCTGCAGAAAATGTTTCCTAGCTGCGATCAAGGAGAGCCGGATCCACTGTCCCTTGTGCCGTGGAACTGTGACCAGAAGAGAAAGAGCACGTCCCGAGAGGGCTCTAGATCTTGAAACCATCATGAGAAGTTTTCCTGGCAATTGTCGATGCTGTTCCCAGCGTATTGAACTCTATCGCATGAGACAACACTACAAAACTTGCAAAAAGTACCAGGATGAGTTCGGAGTTTCTTCAGCTTCTCCAAGCTTCCAACTGTCACCAGATACCGTGGACAACAACATTAACGACGCAACCATCTCTGAGAACACCGAGGCTTACCCAGAAGAAGAGAATGCAGCAAGCCCACCTGATCAGCCTACCTTTGATTGTCCCCTGTGTGAAGAAGCAAACTTGACCAGACAGCGTCTGGTGGATCACTGCAACAGGAACCACAGAGCTCATGTTGTTCCAGTCGTTTGCCCGATTTGCTTATCTCTTCCATGGGGCGACCCTACTCAACAGACCAGAAATTTCGTTAGTCATCTAAACCAGAGGCATCAGTTTGAGTACAGAGATTTCATGGATCTTCAACTGGATGAGGAAACTCAGTACCAAATTGCTCTTGAGGAGTCTTTCCATCTCAACATCTAGAGAGACTTTCCTCAGCTCTGCAATTGCTCCTAAGGGACAATTTACAAGAAATTGTCCTTTCAATAACTTAATGTGTTTTAAATAAAAAGTAATCAGTTTGATCTCTTTTAGTTTTTTTTTTTTCTTTTATTGAAAACCAAAGGCGGCGTTACTTTAAAACTTAGTTCTCTGGACAAGAACACCAGGGAGGAAGAGTGGAGAGAATAAAATGTGTGGATCAGCAAGTGGGAGGAACAAGAGGGGAGCTGAAGGTTGTGGGGAAGAGGGATGGAAAAGAAGGGAACACAGGAGCAGGGAGAGGGCCGGGAGGAGGAAGAGGAACTGGGAAGAGGGAGAGGAATGGAAAAGGTAAGGGGGTTAGAAAAGAGATGGCAGGAGAGAGGGTTGGGAAGAGGAGGGGTTGATGGAAAAGTAGGGGAAAGGATGGGGGATAAAGATAGGAGGGGTGGGACAGGGAGGAGATGGGAAGAGTGTGGGGAGGAAGGAGGGAGATGAATGGGAAAGGGGAGGAGGAATGAGAACAAGAATGTGAGGAGGGGTAAGACAAGGAGGAAGGAGGGAGATGAGTAGGAAAGGGGAAGAGTGAGTGATGGGAGAGAAGAGAAATTTAAGCATGGTGGAACAAAGGGGGAGGGGATGAATGGGAAAGGGGAGGGGAGGGATGGGAGAGAATGGAGATGGGAGGAAGGGTGGGACAGGGAGGAGGAAGAGGATGAAGGGGAAGGGGCAAGGGATGGAGGGATGGGAGAGAATAGAGATAGGAGGAGGGGTGGGACAGAAGGGAGGGAATGGAAAGGAAAGGGGAGGAGGAGGGATGGGAAAGAATGGAGATGGGAGCAAGAGTGGGGCAGGGAAGAGGGAGGGAATGAATGGGAAAGGGGAGAGGGAAGGATGGAGAGAATAGAAATGGGAGGAGGGGTGAGACAGAAGGGAGGGAATGGATGGGAAAGGGGAGGGGGAGGGATGGGAAAGAATGGAGGTCAGAGGAAGAGTGAGGCAAGGAAGAGGGAGGGAATGAATGGGAAAGGGGAGGGGGAGGATGGAGAGAATAGAGATGGGAGGAGGGGTGGGACAAGGAGTAGGGATAAAAATGAATGAGAAAGGGGTGGGGGAATGGAAGTGGGAAGGAATGAAGGAAAAGGATGAGGGGCAATGGGGGAGGAGGGCCTGGGGAGAGGTGCAGAAAGAAGGGGAGGAGTGACAAAGGAAGGTAGTGGGCATATGGAGGGGAAGCACAGTGACACCTAAAAATGAAAATGTTCTGATGAGGCGCATTATTTTGTGGGTTAATTTAAAACAGTTAAAACTATACTAAGAAAAATGGCAATAACCTACCTACGTGGAGGAACTGCAGACACCTACCTTTGTGGAGTAACTATCTGACAGACCCCTGTAATGCTTGTCCTTAAAACTAATTACCTCTCCAGTACACCTTCCAATAAGGTTGATTTTAAAAAGAAAGGTGGCAGAATCACTCCCTGAGAGACTCAGAAGGTTAACCCTTACCCTTGCTCCCTCCTACTGTCTGTGGCGCAGGGACAACAGGAGCCATTTAGTGAACTTCGTGTGCTTCCTATATAGGAGGCTGCGCTTGAATTTACCCTTCTGCCTCCACTTCCCAAGAACTGGGATTATAGGTATGTAGTATCATACCTATTTTATGCAGTGTTTGCAATGGAATTAGGACTTTGTGAAGGCTAGACAAGCATCTATCAACTGAGTCCCACCCCCACCCCTTAATTCCACGATGCTTTTCTTCTATTAAAGAATTATTCTTTGACAGTTTCGTTACATGATACAATGTATTTTGACCATATTTTCCCCTATTATCCTCTATCCCCTTCCCCTGATGTCTTCTTCCCAACAAGTCTTTTTACTGTTTTTGTTTTGTTTTGTTTTCATTTTTTTGACTTTTTCGTTTGCGTTCCGCTATATTTAGTTAATGTGACCTTCCCGAGAACGGGTGAACGGGTGGAGAATTTGTACTCTAGCAGTGGCAACTTTATCAGTCAGTAGCTACTGCTGAGGACAAAGACTCCTTTCCCACAAAACCATTAACTACCTAAAATTCCTGGAGTGGGGGTTGGGAGCCCCTTCCCCTAAATGGTAATGGGTCAAGTCTTCTGCAATGTCTTCTGCAGGGAGCCATGGTGGCTGTGAGTTCACGGGTGCAATTGCTGTGTCGTATCTAGAAGACAGCATTTCACAGCACTTTTCCTCATCCTTCAGACCTTTCCAGTCTTTCCATTTTCTCTTCTTGATGTTCCCTGAGACTTGGAGGAGGTGTTCTACATGTGTCATTCAGGGATGAGCACTCAATAGTCACTTATTCTCAGTACTTCCACAAGTCAGGAGTCTCCATATGAACCACTGCTCATTTCAAATGGAAGCTCCTTTGATCAAGGTTGAGTGGCACTGATCTATGAATATTATCACAACTATTCAGAAGGAAGTTTGATATTGTGTACATATAGCAAAACAGTAGTAGTAGGTTCCCCACTAGGGCCTATGACCATCCCAGCCATGAGCTTTTACCAGGTTTATATGATCAGACATGGATTTCTCCTCCTGTAAAGTGGGCCTAAAATTCCATCAAAAAGCATTTGGTTGCCCCCATAACAGTCATACCATTATTTCACCATTGAGCCATCTTGCATGGCAGGTTGTAAAGGGTACAGTGCTGGCTAAGACCACTGATGACTTTTTGAACTCCTGATTTTAAAAATATCTTTTATTTATTCTTTGGCAATTTTATCCATGTATACAATGTATTTAGAATCTCTCTATCCCAACTGCCTCCTCCCACTCCCCCAGCTACCCCTAACACATCTACCTCCCACCTTCATGTATGTCTACCTTCTTTCCTCTCTCTCTCTTTCTCTCTCCCTGTCTATCTGTCTTGCTTCCTTTCTTTCTCCCATCTAGTACAGCAGTTAGTATTGCCTGCTGGATTTTTGACTGATAACTCCAGAACTTTTATCCAAAATGATTATGCTGAGCTTCTTCAAATGCTTGCTTGATTCCCCCTCCCAGTTTTACAGTCTTACAGGCAGCTCAAATGCAACTGTAGAAGAATAATCGCCATAGATTCTATATTGGAAGGGTTTCTTTGAACAAAATGGATATTCACATAAAAAACCCAGAAGTTTATTGACTTGTATATTTTACATGTATAAAAGATATTTCCCTCTTTAACGTGGTGTGCTCATGACTTCAGCTTGAAGCTATATCAACAGCATCTTCAACAAAGCACAGGAAGTTTTTAGAGAAGTGACCAGGGTTTCCCAAAGAACAATTGGACCATTGGTTACAACTTGGGAGGGGGCTACCACTAGCATCTGGCTGGAGGACAGGGATGCCGCTGAATAGCCTAGAGAACATACACAACTCCCAAGAAAAAATCAATTGACCGTACACCATTAAGAGCATTTGGTGGAGAAACCCCACTTTAACTTTTTGTTAAAAAAACAAAAACAAACAAACAAACAAAAAACAAAAAAAATCAAATTAGTTGTCGTCAGGCATCAATTTAGGGGTGATGATAGAGTTGGATCTGCCAGTGTGTGCACACGTGAGAGAGGGAAGCCATCGTGTGAAAATGCAAACTGTATCTAAGGAATACAGTGGGGCCCTGTTCTCTTTCTGAACCTTGAGATGGAACGTGTGGAGATGACAATAATTGGGCTGCAGAATGGTGTTGAAATAGTGGTCATGTCAGAAAACAGCAATTCTTGCTGGCTTCCAAGCAGAAAAGCAAGCTATGTACATTTTTGTATCAAACATTTTGCTAAATAAACATTTATAAATAATGATAGATAGATAGATAGATAGATAGATAGATAGATAGATAGATAGGTAGATAGATAGATAGATAGATAGATAGATAGATAGATAGATAGATAGAGATAGAGCATTTTCTTGATTACTCTTTTAGCTTTTAAAGCTCATAGTTTTGCATTCCACTCTCCCCACACTCCGGCACTGGCATCATCTCTTCAGATTCTCATCTGCGTTTACTAAAGTCCACCCACACCAGTAATTTCTCCTCTGGCTGTCTAGGTTACTGTCTGCCCAGTTCTGACTTGAATAAACAGTGTCTATCCTATCCTTTTCTGACAGTCCTGAGAATGAGCCTAGACATGGAACAATCAAGTGTTCTTTCTACCAGATGGTGGCCAACATACTAGGAGGTTGCTATTGGCTCCTCAATGCCATACCATGCATTTAGCAGGCACTTATCTTCTGTATCCTTCAATCTACAGTAGCTCCTTTTGCCATTATAAGGATTCCCCAAAAGTTGGACAGGTGAGGCAGAGGGATGGACTTCTCAGCAGGAGATAGGAAACCTAGATGAGCCATTTTTTTCATGATGCTCTCTGAGTGTTATGAAAAGAAACTCTTTTAACTTAGTTGCCTATTTAGAGATGCAGAAAATGTTCATGTACATCAAAATTTGTTCATCTGGGGATATAGCTCAGTGGCTCAGGGGTAATGTGCTGGCATGGGGCTCTGGATTCAGTTTCCAGCACCACAACAATGAGTTGTGAGTTTCATCCTGGCTCCCTGTTTAGATCAAGCCCCTACAGCCCCACCTACTTTGGCTTCATGCAGGCACTTTATTTGCCTACCCTTAATTTGCCACTCTGCTCTTAAGTCTAGACTAGTCTAGCCTATAGCTTCCATTGTTAGGGGACTTTGTTTCTGCAAGGCCTGTGTCAGAGAGATTTTGACACCCACACTTACAGAGGGTATGACTAGACCAGAGTTTGGCTTCACATCTTCTCCTTGGAAATATTCTTGAATCTCCTTTCAAGCTGAGCTTGATTTCCTGGGCCCTAACGTGAAGGCACTTTGGGCCTTCACGTCTACTCAAAGCTAGTAGGAGACACGATGAGAAAAGATACATCTTATGCCTTCTCAGCCTAGGCATACACATCTGTACGGTGCATCCTGAACAATCCTCTCAAAGTGTCCAGATCACATGATGACAGTTTGTAATAACTGCATACCACAGCACTAAGATTCCCAGCAAACATGAGCACCACCGCTTATATATTATTTCTACATCATATTACATGGCC